AGCTCAGCATCATCATTAGCTAGAACTTGGCTTGAACAGATGTATTCTAAGGCAAATAGTCAATTTCCATCTCTGCTAGTGGTGGAGATATTGAGACTGTCAACCACTTCATCTTACTTGGACCCACAGTCAACACATTTGGCACCAGCAGTAAAGGATATCAGGAGATGTATTGTACTGGGAAAATTTGAAGTTAGGGACCTCTCCAACGTACTAAAGAGCAATGGTGTCAGTTTGAGAACTAAGGTGTGCCTGATTCAGGCCGTGGTCTTTTCGATCGCTTGATATGCTGCTGAGAGCTGGACAATGAATAAGGATGAGAGAAGAATTGATGCCTTTGAGTTGTGGTTGTTGAAGAAGAGCACTGACTATCTCATGGACTGTCAAAAGAACAAACAAATATATTTTGAAGAAAGTACAGCCAGAGTGCTCCTTGGAGGCAAAGATGACAAAGCTTCATCTCAAATACTCTGCACATGTTTCTATTACTTGGAGAAGGACATCATACTTGGAAAGGTGAAAGGTTAGTGAAAGAGAAGACTCTCAACCAGGTAAATTGACACAGTGACTGTTGCAATTGACCTGAGTATGTCAGAAATTATGAAGATGGCACAGGATAGGGCAGAATTCAGGTCTGTTGTTCAGAAGATTGTTATGAATAGTACCCGACTCAACAACACCTAACAACATCTAGGAGTGTTGCCTGTATCTTGAGTTTGTAGCAAGGCAGGAACTGAGCTGCTTAGGTGCGTTTTGAGGGATGGTGACATTGACTTGAGAAAAAAAAAAAGTCCTGAACTGGAGCTCACAATAGTCCATGGCAGAAGGGTGGGACAGTCCTCACTAAGCTCCTCTGTCTTTCTCAAGACATGACCTGAGTGGAATTGGCTAGACGTAAGTGAATCTGGCTTATGGATTGTTTTGGTTTTGTTTTATCCACTTTTGAAGCTTCTCTTGATGGGCATAGTAGAAGCAGGATTTGGGGCAAAGAGAGCCCCTGTTACCCATTTTGTGTAACCCTTAGGGTGTGTCTTCCAGGCAGAAAGCCTACCCAATAAGGAAGAAGGAGATCTGTGTGGGTATGAGGCAGGAGGGTCTGACAACTCTGAGAACCTGCCAAGTAAAGCCCATGAATTAAGATGGGGCTGGCACACCTGTACTGACAAACACTAGCTGTGGGCCCAATTGAGTGGGAGGGGTTGCATCCTAGGAGACGACACCAGCATTTTCTGAACATGCTGGCCTACCATTAAGTGACTCAGTGTGTTTCCCAGAGCTTCAGCCAGGAGGAAGGGATAAGAGCTGCAGTATTTATTTTTTTCCCCTTGTGGTGGATTGCTTTGCTTGGCACTAGATCTAGAGGAAAACCTTCCTTAATCACCTTTCTGTCTGTGAACTCATCCTCCAGGACACAGCCTTAGCCAGGACAGCAGTGCCTCAGAGCCTGGGCGAGCTCCCTTGAGGTGTCACAGACCACTAGCCGTGGAGTAAGACTTGCCTGATGTTAAATTCCAGTTGCTATTTTCTCTGTGAGTCTCTTTTCCAATATGTAAAATATAGGTAACAATTTCAGTCTCATAGGCTTGTTGTAAGGACAGAATGAAATAATAACATGTATAGCATTTAGGACAACAAAATCACCCAATAAATGGTGATTATTATTGACCCTTCTTGAGAAGCAGCATATTAGTGTTTAATAGTGTGGTTTCTTTTTTTTTTTTTTTCTTTCTTTTCTTCTCCCTGCCTCTTTTTAAACAGTCCCTCCGTAAGGACTATCCACTTAGCTTTGTATCCAAAGACAAAATTTGTAGGTGAAAGGAGTTAGGAGTTAGCCTTCGTTACAGACTGGTTCATTTCAGGGTCGAAAATATGGAACGCTTCACGAATTTGCATGTCATCCTTGCGCAGGGGCCATGCTAATCTTCTCTGTATCGTTCCAATTTTAGTATATGTGCTGCCGAAGCAAGCACAATAGTGTGGTTTCTGGAGTTAGACAATCTAGTCTGGACTGAGTTTTTATCTTAACTCCTTTTTTTTTTAGTTGAGTTACCTTGTACCATGTCATTCAGTCTTAGCTTCCTCACTTGTTAAAGGGGGAATAATAACAGGTCATAATTCTCACAAAGTCATTGTGAGGATTAAAGAATGTAGACTAAGCATTTGGAACAATTGCCAGTACATACAAATTGTATGAGAAAAGTAAAGTACTCTTATTAATTACTCTAGTTCCCCCCACATCCTCAACTCTATCATCTTGGTGTCTAGGTCAAGACGCCAAGCTTCCCACTAAGCCCATTAATCATTTCGATGACCTTCATTAATGTTACACCCCATCCTGCATTATTCCTGTTTCCTGTTTATGTGCCTCTCCTTCAAAGCTGCACTGGATTTGCTAGTCTCACTTTTACCTATCATATATGTCAAAGTTATGTTCCCAAACCCTTATACATCCAAACTAAAGATCATTGGAATTGGAGAAAATAAATGTGTATCTGACACAGCAATAGTTTCTAAAACTATCCTTAAAATTTAATAAAATAGCCCTGCTGTGATTCCGTCCTGCGTGGCTGTTCTCTGCAACAGTGCTGTTTTATTGCCGTCCTCTCCCACATAAATGTGAGCCACCAACCCATGGAAGATTCAATGGATATGGACATGAGCCCCCTGTGGCCTCAAAACTACCTTTTTGGTTGTGAACTGAAAGCTGACAAAGATTATCACTTTAAGGTAGATAATGATGAGAATGAGCACCAGTTATCTTTAAGAACGGTCAGTTTAGGGGCTGGTGCAAAGGATGAATTGCACATTGTTGAAGCAGAAGCAATGAATTATGAGGGCAGCCCAATTAAAGTAACACTGGCAATTTTGAAAATGTCTGTACAGCCAACGGTTTCGCTTGGGGGCTTTGAAATAACACCAGCTGTCGTCTTATGATTGAAGTGTGGCTCCGGGCCTGTGCATATAAGTGGACAACACTTAGTAGCTGTGGAGGAAGATGCAGAGTCAGATGATGAAGAGGAGGAGGATGTGAAACTCTTAAGTATATCAGCAAAGAGATCTGCCCCTGCAGGTGGTAACAAAATTCCACAGAAAAAAGGTGAAGCTTGCCACTGATGAAGAGGATGATGATGATGACGACGATGAAGATGATGAGTTTGATGATGATGAGGCTGAAGAAAAAGCACCAGTGAAGAAATCTATACGGGATACTCCAGCCAAAAATACACAAAAATCAAATCAGAATGGAAAAGACTCAAAACCATCAACTCCACGATCAAAAGGAGAAGAATCTTTCAAAAAGGAGGGAAAAAACTCCCAAAACTCCAAAAGGACCTAGTTCTGTAGAAGACATTAAAGCAAAAATGCAAGAAAGTATAGAAAAAGGTGGTTCTCTTCCCAAAGTGGAAGCCAAATTCATCAATTATGTGAAGAATTGCTTCCAGATGACAGACCAGGAGGCTATTCAAGATCTCTGGCAGTGGAGGAAGTCTCTTTAAGAAAATTGTTAAAACAGTTTGTTAAAATTTTCTGTCTTATTTCATTTCTGTAACAGTTGATATCAGACTGTCCTTTTTTCTAATGCTGAGTGAGAACTTTCCTATCTTGTCTGAATAAATGTTGTCCAGGTTTCTTTGCCAAGAATGTGTTGTCCAAGATGCCTGTTTAGTTTTTAAAGATGGAACTCCACCCTTTGCTTTGATTTTAAGTATGTATGGAATGTTATGATAGGACAAAGTAGTAGCAGTGGTCAGACAAATGGAAATGGTGGGGAAACAAAAATATACATGTGAAATAAACCCAGTATTTTAATTAAAAAAATTTAATAAAATACTATCCTCTTGGGCATGTTGCCAGAAGGGACCAGTCCTTGGAAGAGGATACTGTATTTGGAAGGGTGGAGGGTCAGCACAGGAGAGGCAGTCCCTGGATGAGATAGATTGATACTGTAACTGGGGTAATGAGGGTAGATGTGTCAGAGACAGTGAGATTGTCTCAAGACAGAACATAGTTCAGAGATATTGTGCATAGCGTTGCTTATGAGCTGTATATGTCTTGAGAACACATAACAACAACAGTTGTCTATGACTTCATTTCCCCCTTTTCTGCTAGTCTCCCTTTGGCTCTCTTCTCTGTAAATGGAGGAGGACCACACACGTTTACATAAATGAATATGCTTATCTATATAAAATGCGGAGCTCTGGTGGCTTAGTGGTAAGGAGTTGTATTGTCAACCCAAAGACGAATCCACCAGCTGCTCCATAGGAGAAAGATGGACAATCTCCTCCTGTATGACTTACTGCCTCTGAAAATCCACTGGGTCAGCGGTCAGTTCTGACTCGATGGTACATAACAATATGAAATATTGGGTAAATGAACAGCCTCTTGCCCCTTCCCACCTGAATTTATTCATCCTTTCAAAGAATAGAGTTTACACTATGACCAAGACCTATTAAATGTTGGGATTAACAAGTTTAGGAAGTTTTCATTTTCTTGAAACTTAAACTCTTCTTGAGGAAAACAGGAACAGATACAAACTTTTAGCTAAAGTGCTCTGAAAGACTGTTGGTGACGAGTGGGAACAGAATATTTCTAACATTGCATTGGATTAGGAGGAGCTCAGAGGGGAACTAAGTAGAGGTTCATTTTATAAACGGGAATACTGAAACATAGACACTTATACGTTTTGATGACTGAAAACAGAGGTAAGGCAACTGCACCCTGCTTCTTGTTAGTCACATGAGGGTGTTAAGATACCGCGATCGAACCCGCCTACATCGTTGACTCGGCGGCGCGGGCGCACAAGGACGCCGTCCTTCTGACGTCGTACGCCCAGCTCGGCTCTGTCCCTGTGACGTCACCCCGCTGAGGCCCAGCCCCGCTGCACGCGCGCCCGAGCGCATGCTCCGAAACCCGCCCCCGTGCGTCACAGAATGGCATCGGGCAGCCCGGTGGCCTCTGACGTGTCGGGGAGGAGCTGGGCGCCGCGGTGCGAGGAGCGGAGCTCGGGGCTGCTGACGGGCGCGGAGCTGAGCGGCTGGGTGGGCCTAGCCAGGCCGGCGGAGCGGACGCGTCGGGCGAGCCGCGGCGAACATGCGTTTTTGACACATTGGAGGTGAGTCGACTGTGCGGGAACTGCCTCCGCGGGGAGCAGGCCAGGCCGGGCGCTGCCGAGGCCTGACCCTGGGGGAAGCTGCCGAGCCCGGGGACAGCTCTGGGACAGCGGTTCCAACCGCTGTAACCGCCCACTCCCTGGTCCGAGGCGTGGCCCTCCAGTGGTGCCGGAAGGGGGCGAGCCTGGCGGCCCCGGGGAGATGTGGCGTCCCGGGCGGGGTGAGCGAAGGAGGATGGAGGCGGTGCGCTGCAGCGCTGTCTGGGGCCGTGTGGTGGCGCAAGGAGTGTCCCCGCCGGAGGTGGCAGCGGCGCGCCCAGCCCTCCTGCACTCTCCCCGGAGCCCCTCCGCGAAGGGCTGTTTGGAGCAGGTGGATTCTGTGCAGGTGACTCCCGTGGAGGCGAGCGCAAAGTCGCCCCCTCGGCCGCCCGTGGCATTCCCGCGACGCCCAGCTGCGAGTCATCCCCCTTGAAGCTCAGGAAGTGTCCCCGCTCGGGTTCTGGTTGCTATTGCTCGCCCCTTCTATTTTTTTCTGGTAAGCAACGCGATAACCCTGCAAGTTTTGTAAAGGAAGTGACTCCGTTTCCTCTGTAGGCGCCGGCACGCCGCTCTGAGCACTTTGGCCATCGCTTTTGATCGCAGGCAGGTTGTGGTTGTGACAACCTCCTCGCTGTTCGACGTTGGTAAAACCGAATCTCGGGGTGGGGAGGTGGTCAGTGATTTATATGCTTGGTTCCGACCAACTAACTGGTTGGCCCAGTCCTTGGGCCCCGAATTTTCATTTCTTTTCCCAGGATTTTCGCCCTCTCTTGAGCTAAGCAAGCAAGGCAGGATGGTTGACTTAACGATATACGAGAACTTGGCAAATGATTTAGTAAAATATAGTTGAACAGATTTACTGAGGATAAGAACTCCTATTAAAAATCCTACTTTGAAGCTTGTTTATTGGTTACTATTTAGTCTGAGAAACTATATTGCTCTATCTTAATTATGAGGCAGGGTAATGGAAAAACTTAGGAGGGCATCTCTCCTGAATTAGTATTAAAATGATTATTATCTAAAATTGGAGAGCATTAGTGAACAAAGAAAATGGCTAGTCTGGATAGAAGTTGACCTCTGTCAGTTGTAAGTTGCTCGATATTCAGAAGCTAAAGTTCTGGGGTTGGTTTCTATGAAGTTTGTTTTGATCTTTGAAATTAAATAAATTGAAGATGGAGAAGAAATACTTAGGGTAGCTTTGGTAGCTTAGTGATAAGGAATCATGCTGCCAAGGCAAAGGTACTCAGTTTGAACCCACCAACAAGATCTTTGGAAGAAAGATGGTCAGTCTCCTCTTGTGTGATTTACTGCCTCTGAAACCCCACTGGAGGGTCAGTTGTGGGTTGGTTCAGACACTACAGTACCAAACAACAAGAAGAAGGAGCACTTAAAATCAGTAAATGTCTCAGTAAAACCACTAGCCATGCCTGGGTGACATCTGCAAAATTTATTCTCTTTAAGCAATGTGGAGGAGACAAATTTGGTGACTAGAGCTTATAATTTATCATAAAGATTTCTGAGCAGTTGATAAGGTAGAAAAAGTAGTTTGATAGGAGCAAAAGGAAGATCATAATTATGATCATCTTTGAAAAGCCAAAAATTTTTAAAATGTTACCTTTGAGAGGAGTGAAGAATTTCCAGCATTCTTACATCTGTGACTGTGAAGAAATGTCACATAAAGTAGATTTTTTTTAAGGCAACACATATGGCAAATATCTTTAAAAATGTTAAGTTTTTGGATAGGTTGTTTAAATTTTAAAGCCATACATAGTTTGATAATACCTGATGTACAAGTTGCCATGTTTATAAGACTTACACTCCTTTTGCGTGAGACATTGAAACATGGATTAGTTAGGGTATGTAATTATCTATGTTCATTTTGCCTTCAGAAGATTGTAGATGTATCATTAAGGCAATCCCCCACCCCTTTTTTTAGCAGTGTAGTTTTCTGTATTGGCTAACTTGATACCATATATCTCCAGTTACATAGTATCAGATAACTTGGTGAACACCTCCTTTCACTGTGACTTGAAGCACAACTGAGCAAACTGTCTTTGAAGCCCTTGAAATGGCTTTGACTATTAGGAGAGGTTAATGCATTTTTGTCATTTGCTAAGAATCTGGTTTTTAGAAAGATTAGGTCTGATAAAATAAAGTTACATAAAGTGGAATAATACTAATTAGGAAGTAATAAAATGAGGTAAAATTATAAAGTAAGGACTTGCTTAGTTCTTTATCTGGCTTTTAATGATTATCCCAAGACAAGTTGAGAAATTGTCAGTAATGGTGGTATTATTACTGGAATATTATGTAGAGCTTTCAGAAGTGATTTTTCCCCCCAAATTTATTTTATTATTTTCTGTGTGTGTACCTTCAAATTGGATCTGACTGGTACAGGAAGAGATTGCCCCTCCTTCTCCAGCAGAGCATCTGGTGGATTCAAACCACATGCCTTCAGGACTGCCAGAAGTGATTTTTAAAGGGATTGTTTGTATGTTATAAATTCAGTAGTACTTTTACAGTGGTTATACTTGAAAGTTCCACTGCTGAGCTACTTTTTTTTTTTTTTACTTAACGTTTTTTTAGACATTAAGGAACTTTTATACTGCATTTACCATGTGCCAGGCTCTGTTCTAGTACTTTACAAATACTCACTTATTATAACAACTCCATTTTAGTTATTTTCTCCATATGAAAGATAGGGAAATGAGTGGTTAAATAACTTGTCTAAGGTTTCTTCATTGATAAGTAAACCAACCAAATCAAACTTACTACCATGAAATAATTTGACTTATGACAACCCTCCATGGGGCTTCCTATTTTAAAATTAGGAATTTATTTTTACTTTAATGGAAGGTTTACAGATCCTATTGATTTTTCAAGCAAACTCAAGACATTTTGTCCTATAACCTTCATTGCCATTGATTAATGTAATGAATTAATGGACAATATCTAATCAACTCCTTGGAGGTTATAAATCTTCATGGGAAAAGACCACCACATCTTTCTCCCACAGAGTAGCTGACCCATTTGAACTGCCAGTCTTCCTTTTAGCAGCCCAACACATGCATTATGGTATTTCTTACTTACTAAGTAGAGGAGTTGAAATTAAAACAGTCGCTCTTACGCAGTATGCCGTGCTGCACTACTCTTGTGCTTGTTTTCTGCTTAAATATTTTACAATGCTTTGTACAGGGTTGTTTGTTGTTTTTTTTTTCTCCCCCCGGCCCCTGTACAGGGTTGTTTGAGTTGGAATTGATTCATTAGCAGTGGTTTTAGTTTTTAGTCTGTTTTATAAATTATAGAGCTCATTCCAGTAAAAAGTGTCTAGTAGAGGTTGTCATAGTGATTAGTTGTGAAAGTAGCCTCTTAACACACACACACACAGAGAAACAAACTGTAGTTAACATTGAGTTCACAAGTAAATAGTACATGTGGGCTAAAAACACATTAAAAATTTTGCTAATATTTGACATAGAAGTAAGCAGTTGGACAGGTGGGTACAAAGCATAGAGCTAAATCTCTATGAAACTTCATGGCAAAGATTATTTGAAACTTGAGTCACCAGAAGACTATGGAAAAGTTGGTAGTTGTGTTAAATATATGGCCCTATTCAGTTTGTCAGTGGCAAATGGATACTTTACTCCTTACTGAGCAGTGTAAACAGTTAAGCTCCTTTCCCAACAACTTAACTCTTCATAGTACTAACTGCCTCTGGTAATGTAGAAGTGGGTCAAACAGTAAAACCATATGAATGATAACATTTATAGGTAAAAAACCTCTAGTCCTATTGTAGGAAGGGGTGGTCCACATTCAAATATAAGCCCTGAAAGAACAAAGATAACAAATTAGATACATAGTAACATTGATCCATGCCATTAGCAGTTTCATCAAATGCTGCACAGTTACAGAAGTACAGAAAAGATAGAAGAAAAATGATTCCTAACCAAAAGAAACCAGACACATTGCTGTTGAGTTTGTTCTGATTGGTGGTGACCCCTTTTGTTAAAAGTAGATTGTTTTCTAAGCATTAATCTTTATGGAGGAGCACATGATTTTTCTTCCACTGAGTGAGTTTGAACTACTAACTTTTAGATTAGTAGTTCAGTGCAAAGTCTGCCACCCAGATACCTAGAAAATTATCCTACCAGTGAATATTGTAGCATCAGGATTGGTGGAAGATCTATCAACAATCTGCGTTAGGCAGATGACACAACCCTGCTTGCTGAAACTTAGGAGGACCTGAAGCGCTTGCTGCAGAGGGCCAAGGACTGCAGCCTCCTATATGGATTGAGGTTCAATGTCAGGAAGACAAAGATTCTCACCACTGGGCCAGTTGGCAGCACAGAATGGATGGTGAAAAGATTAACACCTTTGATTGGCTTGGCTCCACAGTCAACACTCTTGGCACCAAGCGCCAGGAAATTAAAAGACATATTGCGATGGGAAAGTCCCGAAGAACAATGGTGTCTCTCTGGAGACTAAGATGCTTCTGATACAGGCCATGGTCTTTGCAGTCACTTGTTAGACATCAGAGAGTTGGACAGTGACCAAGGAGGATAGAAGGAGAATTGATGCCTTTGAGCTGTGGTGCTGGAGAAGAGTATTGAGGGTACCATGGACTGCTAGGAAAACAAACAGATTCATCCCTGAGAGGGTTAAACCAGGCTCCTCCTTGGAGGCAAGGATTCTGAGGCTTCGTCTAACATACTTTGGACATGTTGTAAGAAGGGACCGGTTCTTGGAGAGGGACATCATGCTTGGGAGGGTGGAGGGACAGCGCAGGAGGGGAAGGCCCTCTATGAGGTGGATTGATTCAGTAACTGGGATAATCGCTATGGCTGTATCGGAGACAGCACGATTGGCAGAGGACAGAGCAGAGTTTAGGGCTGTTGTACATAGGGTCGCTATGAGTTGCAAGCGACTCGATGGCACATAACAACAAGCAGTGAATAAAATGTTGA